ACACGCTAACCACTCGGCTACACTGCCACGAGTACCTTTGAGTCACAGGGCATAAGTGAGTTTCAAGGACAGTCAGGCCTCTGCTATATTTATGTTTGATTGGTAAATTGAAGGCGAAAGAGGATGTTGAGCCGCCATCCAAAAGAATGCAACTCTAATTGTCTGTCCTGGGATGGTCCTAACTTCACTTACACTCGTCCAACATGTTAAAGTAAGCTCATCAACCAAACCAGACGTGCCAGCTTACGCAGCCCCAGTCATGCCTTTCCTTGGGGGGTTTAACGTTAATGACCCTATAATGAGAGGTTAGGAAAAGTGGTTTCGTAACTTTACTTACATCTTTATAATTAAAAACACTACTTTTATATATGCATATACATTCAACTAACATTTATTCACCAGATTATGAGACCTAGCGTGAATACGGCTCTTAATTGAGATATTCCGGTCGATTAGAAACTTACTCAATAAGAATATGAGTAGTATGGTATATTATGCATACATATAATTTCAAATATATGCTATTATTCATTTGTAATGAGCGGAACATATATATTAGTACTAGTACTTTTACTATATTATATTTATTATATTATACCATTGTAGATACGAAAATAAACTTGGTTTCGACGAACCTCCTGAGATAACATTGTTAGGGGACCTTCATTTCGTATGAAAGTGAATGAAGAAGAGATTCATTGGTCGATCTCACCAGATGAGGACGGATGAATCTCGTTGAAGTCAGTGATTCTAAGAAGTATGAGGCTAGCGGATAGTAAACATTTTGACTAAAGAATCGGAATAATTGACAAATATATTTCTGGAAAATAATTATCATTTGGGCCTAATTGAGAATAATATCTCTCTACTGAGGAATACATTTTCAGACGGAGACCATTTAGTAAAAAGAGAGACAGACTGAGACCTTTTCCCATCTTCTAATTTTTCCGTCATGTTTTCTCTCAAAAAAGATAGGCGAATTAGTGAAGAAGGGGGGTATAAAAACAGTATTGAAAGAAACCCTCACACTTTTTTCTGTTATGCCATCATTTAGAGAGAAATATGATCCATTATCGCGATCCGGCTGCTACAAGATTGTTTGCTCATCTGGTCGATGTTATGTTGGTGAGACATGCCGACGTATTCGACAAAGATTGGTAGAACACAAAAATGCTCATAAAGGAAGCTGAATCCAGATTGCGCAGCCCCAGTCATGCCTTTACTTGGAGGGTTAAACGTTAATGATCCTAGTGGTTGTTTGATCTTGTTTTCGCAACATGGTCATATTTGGTAGGAAGACTAATTGGAACGCACCTAGTCCGGGGTCCATTGTCTGCATGATCATTTCCAAAGTTGAACCGTGGACGTGAAAAATTCCCAAACGTTTCGCCGGCATCGTAGTCGGCGAAACTGAGAAGTTAGTACAAGTGGTTTCGCAACTTAAATTACATGATTGCAAGCTCATATCTCATTATCTCAACCATACTTGATTACGGATGTACGCAGTCTTGCTCAGGGCTTTCTCTTGGGTCATTAGGCCTTGATGATCAGAGCCTGAAATTATCCTTTTGATAACTCTGATTTAGGACCGGCATTGTGTACAGACGCTGACACATACAAACGCACACACACACACTCACACACTCGGGCAATAGTAGCAGGACCAGTATAAAAGATAATTGGTCAAACCACTCTATATCTATCTATCTAGGCTTTTTTAATTTTCTTTTGTGTACTTAAGTCTATATAAAAGGTAAGATAGAGCCGGATAGTCTTCTTGACCTTGTGCTAACGTGAAACTTTTACAGTAATGAGACACAGCTTTTGATGATGTCCATCATACGATGGACAAAAGCTCAGCTTGTTTACACCTGAAACGAGGTAGGATGTCTAGTAGACTGCGTCAACCTGAACGTCGTATAAAAGCCAAACGGCTACAGTAAAACGGGATTAATCCGTCCTATTCTGTTGAGACCGACTTACGAATCTCTTCTTCATGCACTTTTATACGAAGGGAAAGTCTCCCCAACAATGTTATCTCAGGAGATTCATCGAAACCTGGTTTCTTACTGTATCTTAAAAAAAAGTTCACACAATCTTGGCTTTTTGACTCTTTGACTTGCTGTGCTTGGTGCTGAGAATGCTATGACTCTATGTATGCATGTATGTATGTGCGTTCGGTCCTAGGTATATATGAGTACATATTCGTATGTATGTTCGAATGTATGCATGTATGTAGGTATGTAGGTATTTTTGTGTGAATGCATGCATGTCGGTAAACTTTGAATAACCCGCATCGAGGTTGCGCACTGTTCCAACTGTCTAGAGTGGTCCTTTATCAACTTGTCTATTCTATTAAGACGGTCTTGGCTTGGCTTACGCCAGCTGCACAGCAGATATCACCGAGGCACTCAGCGAAAGATTGCATTGAGTGGAAAGTGGCCAACGAGGGATCAGCGCGGTGGCCCTACGGCGAGGCCAAGAGCGTGGCGGGCTGTAGTGAGAATAGGCAAACAAAGATTCGGTCGAGTGTATTTAAAGCAATCATCAAAGTGCTTTACTCTATGTGATTTATGAGGGCTTCCTAAATCGACTTTCTCTAGCTAAACTAGAATGGTAATACGAGAAAAAAGAAAAGATAAATATGAGTAAGAAAAAAAAAAAAAGTAGAAAAAATAGAAGGAGAAGGAGAACAGGAAGAATAAGTAGATGAAGAAAAAGATGAGAGAGAGAAATAAAAAAATATAAAATAAGAACATGGGGAAGCAGAAGGGATATAAGAACGATACCAAAACAGTAACAATAAGAAATAGAATAAAGAGAGGAATAATAAGAGACACCCGGAAAAGTATAAAAAGGATAAGGAGAAGAAGAAAAAGATGATGATAATACCTTAAGGAAGAGCCTCTTGACTACATGTGACCTGAAGCCTGCCGTCAAGACTGGCCTCTCTCCCCGTGCAGCTTCCACTTGGTTGGACGTACAAAAGGCTGACATGTCATACTTTTGTCTTCAAGCACTTTATCGTCAAGGCTACTTGGCGATGTCATGCTGGCTTGGTGCAAGACCTGAGCAAATTGCTTGATTGAAGGGCGAGGCGAATCAGAGGCGTACAGATAAGGCATTATCAAAGCCTAAACATCCAGGCCCATACCTCTGCTGGGCTGATTAAGAGGCGAAGCCAAATCGATCAGATGAAGACGACTCCAGTTGATCAACTGATGCCTGGCAAATGATGTTGGCTTAACTTTGCTGACCGGTCTGCGTGCCATTTGAGCAGCAGAATAGGAGACTACGGAGCCGAAAGGAGAGCTAATTTGCATGACATCGCCATTTGCATCAGCAGT